ACTTGGAGATAATTTGACCAAAGTCAGACAACTACAAAATGGTGCAAGCAGAATAAGAACTGAAGTTTATCTGACTGCAAAGTCTATGCTCTTTAGCACAATTTGATACTATCACCTATCAATTTGCAGAAATAGCTGTTTTAGAGAATCAGACAATTTGGGAGAAGGCTACTTTGTCCTTTAATTCAGTAAATCATGTCTTTATAAAATGCAAAGTTAGGCTGATATAGAGAGCATGTAGTTATACATATTTCAATTCATTTTTATAAGAATGTAAAATCAGAAAGCACATATAAGGGGCTGTCCTAAGAGAGGAAGTACTAAGGTATCTCCTGGGATCTGTACCTGTGTCCAATGTCAAATTACTGTTGACATTTGAGTCATTTACATCTAGACGGTACAAAATGTGATGTGCTGATGATCTTGAATCATCATAAAAGGGTATACGTAGTTTGTTTCATTAAAGAAGATTGGAAAGGGCAGAATCCATGTCACATTTCAGAAAGATTTTGGTAAGAAAAAATCTTGTTAAAACCATGAGCAAGCACTAACTGTAAAGTTCAACGCAGGTGGCATATTCTCTTAAAGGGTCGTAACTGAAGAGTTGCTACTACGGTCTCAGTGTTATAAATAAAATTTGGTTTATTTTAATAAAATATCACTTATTTTATATTTTACTTATAAAATATAATAGTAGCAACTCCTCAGTTATGACCCTTTAGAGGTACTATGACCTCTAAAAGAAGCATAATTTTACATGGCCTAAAATATAAGTTACAAAAACCAAAAAATAATCCTATATATGAATACAATTAGCTCTTACTGAGCACTTGCTATATACCAGGCATTATGTTAGTTAAATACTTTACCTAAGTTATCTTATTGAAGCCTGTAGAAATCTATGATATATGCATTGCTATTTTTACTTAGATGAGAAACTGAGGATTAGGGAAGTTAACAAAATCATCCGATTTCACACAGCCAGAATCAACATGTTACACAGCTCAGGGAGGTATCATTTGCATCCTAGACTATGTGAATGCCTGATGGAATTAGGTTGCAGCCATACACAGTTGTCCTGCCAGCTAAGTGCTGGTAAAGCCAAGATTCATATCCAGGGTGTTTAATTCTAAAACTTACTCCATATTGCTAACTCTATGCTATGCACAGAGTAGTTTCCCCCCCAAAAGATTGTATATTTATTTCTAATTTTTGAAAAGTTGAATTATTCAATATTTAAAATATGTAAAATTTTGCAGAATATTATAACAAACATCTATCACTTAGATTTATTATAATTTTGTCATATTTATTTCATTCTTTTTCTTCCAAAAAAAAAAAAAAAAAGAGGCCTGACACGGTGACTCACACCTGCAATCCCAGCACTTTGGGAGGCCAAGGCGGGCAGATCATGAGGTCAGGAGATCGAGTTCATCCTGGCCAACGTGGTGAAACCCTGTCTCTAATTTAAAAAATACAAAAAAATAAGCTGGGCAGTGATGGCGCACACCTGTAGTTCCAGCTACTTGGGAGGCTGGGGCAGGAGAACTGCTTGAAACCAGGAGGTGTAGATTGCAGTGAGCCAAGGGCGCGCCACTAAACTATAGCCTGGGTGACAGCGCGAGACTCTGTCTCAAAAAAAAACAGAAAAAGAAAGTAGATAAAGCTCTATTTGCCTTCCTTTCTCCAGAAAGTTTACTGTTCTAGAATTATATCTTTACAACTGTGTTCTTATGTTTTATTAGTAAAGATGTACCTTTTTTTTTTTTTTTGAGATGGAGTTTCACTCTTGTTGCCCAGGCTGGAGTGCAATGGTACGATCTTGGCTCACTGCAACCTCTGCCTTCTGGGTTCAAGCAATTCTCCTGTCTCAGCCTCCCAAGTAGCTGGGATTACAGGCATGCACCACCACGTCTGGCTAATTTTTGTGTTTTTAGTAGAGACGGGGTTTTGCCATGTTGGTCAGGCTGATCTCAAACGCTTGACCTCAGGTGATCCACCTGCCTTGGCCTCCCAAAGTGCTGGGATTATAGGTGTGAGCCACTGCGCCTGGCCAGTATATAGTTTTAATAATATATAAAAGAACTTATAAAATTTTCATAACTGGCATCATACTGTACCTGTGCTTTTGTAATTTTATTTGTTCATTAAATATTCAACATTATGATTTTGAGATTTATCCATGACGATACATGTAGATCCAGTTGATTCTTAACTGTTATATAGTATTCCATAATTTATTTATACATTTTTTTTGGATAAAAATTTAGGTTATTTCTACCTTTTCTGGCTACTAGAAAGCAATTGCACCCTTGTACACATTTTCCAGTGTGTACGCATACGGAATTCTTGTTTCCTTAGCAGCTTCTCCAAATTCATTATTCGCAGACTTGACACCCTTGCCAATCTCATAAATGCCAAATTTTTTTCAAATTGCATTTTTCTGATTACTAACAAGGCTGAGTGTCTTTGGATGTTTGTTGTCCATTTAGGTTTCCTCTTCAATGAATTGCTTAATGATATTCTTTTTATTTTTATTTGAGACAGGGTCTTACACCCATCACCCAGGCTGGAGTGTAGTGGAGTGATCATGGCTCACTGCAGTCTTGACTTCTGGGTTCAGGTGATTCTCCTATCTCAGCTTCACTTAATCATAGCCCTTACCCATATTTCTACTGGTTGTTTGGGCTTTTTTTTTTTTTTTGAGGCGGAGTTTTGCTCTTGTTGCCCAGGTTGGAGTGCAGTGGAATGATCTCGGCTCACCACAACCTCTGTCTCGCAGGTTCAAACAATTCTCCTGCCTCAACCTCCCGAGTAGCTGGGTTTACAGGCATGCGCCACCATGCCCGGCTAATTTTTTTATTTTTAGTAGAGATGAGGTTATTCTATTTTGGTCAGGCTGGTCTTGAACTCCTGACCTCAGGTGCTCTGCCTGCCTCAGCCTCCCAAAGTGCTGGGATTACAGGTGTGAGCCACTGTGCCTGGCACATAGTGCTTATTATATGCCAGGCCATGTTCTAAGCACATTATAGATATTAATTAATTAATTTATATTAATATTATAGATATTAATTTATATTAATATTATAATAATTATAGATATTAATTAATTAATCTTCATAACAACCCCACAAAGTGGGTACTATCATTATTTCTATTTTACAGATGAGGAAACTGAGGCATTGGGGCTTCCCCTAAATGTTTTAAAGTTTTGATTTTTACTTTTGGACATTTAACCAATCTGAAATTTATTTTTGTGTATGATATAGCTAGGAATCCAGTTTTAATTTTATCATATAATTAATTAATTTCTCAGTATTATTTATCAAATGAGCCATTCTTTCCCCATGATCTGTAATGGCTTCTCTGTCTTTTACTAAAATCTGACTCATAATACAGTTTCCTAGTCTGTTCTCTTAGATACTAGTCTTTCCCTGCACCAATACTGTATGGATTTAATGATCATGGTATAGATTTGCGGTAGTGATTCTTCTGTCCAAATTCTATTTCTTCAAAGTTGTTTTAGCTAATTTTGGTCCTATGACTTTTTTAAAAACTGATTTTTTAAAAGTTTAACATTTTTAATTTAAAATTAATGAAAATATCTAGATAAAGGCAGTATTATGCTGTAGCTAGCTCATACTGGCTTTGGAAAGACCATTGTGTGCCTCTTTCCCCAGTTTCACATTGAGTGAAGAGCACTGGCTATAGCAGGAGTATTTACACCATGGAAATTGGCAAGGCTACAAATCAAGGCCTTTCCCCTCTCCATAGGAGATTCATTTGTTAACTTTACCAGTATACCACTGGATAGAGGTTAAATTTAAGATATATTAAAATTCAAAATATACAACCAAAGGAGAGATTCTATGGCACTTTAGATAATTTTAGATAACTGCAACAATATCTGGGGAATAACTTCAGGGCTGAGGTATCCTCTAACACAAAGTTTTCTTCACAGTTGTGCTCTACATGGGTCAAATATAGTTTTAGAGTCAGATCCCTGATAAACTTTCTATTACTTTTTCAGGTTTCCCTAATACAAGTTGTAGTATAAATTAAGGTAATGGAAACTCCCATAAAGGTAGGACATATATTATCATTCATAGAATGGAGAATGGATATTTTTCATATATTACTATGTACTATTTTGTATTCTATTTGTTAACTGCCATATCTGCTTCAGCTCCTTTAATTAAATTAATAGCATGAGGCTGTGCATGGTGTCTCACACCTGTAATTCCAGAGCTTTGGGAGGTCAAGGCAGGCAGATCTCTTGAGGTCAGGAATTTGAGACCAGCCTGGCCAACACAGAAAAACTCCATCTCTACTAAAAAAAAAATACAAAAATTAGCCAGGCATGGTGGCAGGTGCCTGTAATCCCAGGTACTCAGGATGCTAAAGCAGGAAAATTGCTTGAACCTGGGAGGCGGAGGTTGCAATGAGCTGAGATCACACCACTGCGCACCAGCTTGACAGAGCAAGACTCTGCCTCAAAAAAAAAAAAAAAAAATTAATAACGTGAAAATGTAGCAGAGAGAAAGCAATCTTCTATATTATGAAAGAGCATAAAAAAATATATAATAAACTCACATTGCCTACCACACATATACCAGTAACTCAGTAAATAGCCAGATGAATAACTCCTAATCATAAGTGATTCTTAAAAATACAATGAAAATTCATCCGCAAAATACAATTTTAAAAAATACAGTGAAAACAACTCTTTACTCACCCAACTCAATACAAGTGATGCCAAGTGACCAAATATCAACTTTTCCATCATATTGTCCTTCATCCATAGCTAAGATCACCTCTGGAGCCATCCTACCAAACATAAGGTACAAAATTCAAGTTGTAGATTAAAAACAAAATTTCTCCAGTAAAGTAATTGAATGAAATAGCTCTTCTTAAGGGTATTCTGAAATTTTATCTGATATAGGTATTATTTCCTTACACAAATAATTTTGAAAAACACTTCAAAATATAATATACTTGGTGATTTACATGACACAACACATTATTTTCAATAAAGACTGGCTCCACTCCTTACTGTCAGTTTGATCTTAGGTAAGTTTCTTAACCTATCTGTACATCAGTTTCTTCACCTGTAAAATGGAGAGACTTCTCATAGCAACTTTACAGAAATTTGTAAAGAATTAATATACATAAAATACTTAAATAAATGATTACTTTGGAACAGCTGATTATATTGCTTTACATAGTTCCAAAAAGTATTTTTCATATTGTTTTAAGTAATTAAATAAAGCAGGAAATACTTTTTTTTTTTTTTTGAGACAGATTCTCATTTTGTAGCCCAGGCTGGGGTGCACTGGTGCCATCTTGGCTCACTGTAGCCTCTGCCTCTCGGGTTCAAGTGATTCTCATGCCTCAGCCTCCCAAGTAGCTGGGATTACAGGCATGTACCACCACATCTGGCTACATTGTTTAAAATAATTAAACAACATGAAAAATACTTTATGGAACCATATCAAGTGATATAATCAGCTGTTCCAAAGATACTAAAACTTACAAAACAAAAACAAAAACAAAAACAAAACCCAGGTTGTGGTAATGGATGTTACTTTACTTGTTTGTCCATAATGCAGCTTCATTAGGAAGGCAGGGACCCTATCTATTTAATATGCCTTGAAAAGAACTGTGTTCTATTATGATGTGTAATCAGTTGCTTGGTAAATGTTATTTGGTGATAGAAAAAAATTTCAAAGACTAGCTGATATTTTATAGTAGGCAAGTAATTTTGCAGAGATCTAAGTCACTTTGTAAGGCATAGTGAAATTCCAACATACCTATGAAAGGAAGGAAAAGAATATGGAAAAAAAAAAGGGTGAAAAACTCTGAGACAGACTGACAAGCTAGGTAACCTTTCAGAGAACTCAACAAGGACAAGAACTTGGATTTCTTTCACTGAAAGGTACCATCTCTGCTTGTTGGCTAGTCAGGCAAAAGGAGTTGCCTTGTCCTTACGTGGAGGATTTGCCTCGAGAGAAAAGTTCAAAAGAAACTGCAAATGAAATCGAAAACCTGAGCTTGTAAGCGAGTTGATAATCCTGCTCAGTTTACACACAGTGACACCAACCTTAATTGCACAATTTAAAGTCACTGTAAATTTTATACTAAGCCAGAGTGTTTCTTTTTATGCCAGTGGGTTTTCCATCCTTCTCAAATAAAATCTCGTTTTGAGGGACATTGGTAAGACACTGTCACAAAACCAAGCCAAACCAGTACCATGAATTCATGTATGCATATTTTAAAACTATGTCATACTTCCTAATTCTACATACCAGTAAGGTGTGCCCACGAAGGAGTTGGCAGGAGAAGCCATTGAGGCAGACCCAAAATCAGCTAGTTTTACCTGACCTGGCTCTGTTAGAAGAATATTTCCTGCTTTAATATCCCTATAGGAAAAAATAAAAGGGTTAGAAAATTACTTTTCAATTTTGATTATGGAATAGGTCAGAGCATGCAATTAATAAGACAAAAAGTTTATTAAAAAAAAAACAAAAAACACCTTGCTCAGATAGCCAGAAGGAGATTCAGTAATTACTGCATGTTGTAAGGGGGCCCAGATTCCTGGGTGTACTTGCAGGTAGGTCATAGTAATTACTTAAAGGTAGAGCTTTCTTCAGAGGGAGGGAATACAATGAGACAAAAGGCAGACATGGCAGACAAGGAAACCTATTCAGCTGCTACCCTTATAAAGGCATATTCTTAAAGGCCAAATCTAGTTATCAATAGTTTTCCCTGTGCTGAGAAAGTTGGCGCCAATTGTAACTGCTTTTACAAATTATGTGACATTTTTGGAGCCTAAACAATTCTGTATTGACTACCTACCAATAAACTTCAACTACACACATACCTTTTCTTTCTTGCCTGTGACCCTTTACTCTGCCTTTAATTGTAACTGCAACTCTAAGGCATTTGACATACATGTTATATAGAAGGTGTTATTTTAAAAATAACTCTGTACAGTAAAAAGAAGACCCTGAAAGATCAAAACAAACACAGATTAGGGGTTAGGAAATGACATTTCTACTGTATTACTACAAAGAATTGCATGTGGTTACTACTAAAGTTAGTAGATGAATTATAGAGCAAAAGGTTTTAAAAATATAATTTAAAAATTCATTCTTCAGTATGGTAACTTAGAATGAGAAGGTGTGGATGTATTCCTTATTCTTTTTAAAAAAGGCATGAAGTGTAATGAGCACTAGAAACCATGAATTGGAAGTTGATGGTCAGTGAAAAGGTAAAACAGAGACGAGGAAAATTTATGTCAAGCTGAAAATGGTAAGGTTCAAATACTTCAAAATAACTTTTATAAAAACTTCCCTTGAAAATTCAGTTTCCTTCCTCATGGTGACATTAGGCACTGGCACACAGAACTAAAAAAACGTGCATTATTTACTTTTCTTCACAACAGAAAAATATATTATCTTCAGTGAGGAGACTGAACTACCTTTTAAATTGAAACAATAAAAATATGAAACATGGTATTTAGTTTTAAATTTAAAAAACATTCTTTATAAGTTTTTTGTCTCTTCGACAAATAATTTCACATACTAAAGAAGATAAAGTATATAATACAGACTAAAACATTAAGTTACTGTGCAGATTAAGGTAATAATGGCACAAAAAAACTGAACTGTGGCTTTAAATGAGAGCAGGCAAAACCATCACAAGCAAGTTGGCAGCAGTATTAACACCTTGGTACCAAAGACATATATTTAAAAAAAGTTGTCAGATCCATAGACATTATGATAATTTTATGTAATCAGCATTTATTAACATGATTAGGTTCACTCTTTGTCCTTAATTCCCAGCAGGATTTTGGTCTGCCTATCTTGAGGAAGTTCTGCTTTTGTGGTACCCTGGGGTGATTAAAACAGGAGCAAAAGAGGAACCATGACCTAATAGTTTCACTTCTTCCTAGTAAATGCCAGTTGTTTTCTTTCATTTGTGAGCCATCTCAGATTCTTTATGCCTACCTAAAATGTCACTACTCTTCTCCCCATTCATTAATGTAGCTGCACTAAAAGTTCATCATTGAGCAAAGGAAAGATTGGTAACATCTTTCTCTAGAAGTTAACGGAGGGAGGGAGGTTGCAGGGAGGAGAGTGGTGTTGTGGTAGAGAAAATACAAGGTAGAAAAAAGCCCTAGAACAGAAGTCAAGAAAGTTGAGTTTCAATCCTTAATATATTGCTCAAATTCTGTGAAGCCCTCGGCAAGTTAAGTCTCTTCACCTGCCAAAATACAGTAAAGATAATATCTTCCTAAGTATCCATATGAACTGTAAGAATGCGAAATATTTCAAAGTTATAAAATAGCATATATTTATATAAGACTAGCTTGCTATTTATAATAGGAAAGGGACAATAACTCTGCTAAGAGATAAATATATTCAAGAAGGTTAAGTTTCTTTTCTTCCTGACATAGTATCTAAAGATTGCTGGGCCCTTTTACAGATTTCCCTGTAACACTCAGCCTAGAGAATAGTTACGTACTGAACAAAGATGATATAATTCTGGATACATAGGAGAGAATAGGAGATACAAGCTAAATTCTGGCAGCTTTACTCCTCATATCCAGAAGCAGCAATCTATTTGCTTCCCATGAATGTTTAGCCAACCTAAAAACTGGAGTATGCACTAATTTTCAAGGTTCCTGGAATAGACAGTCCTGTAACTGAAATGAAATGTAACTGGTCTCTAATCTTACCTATGAATCAATGCATGAGAATGTAGGTAGGCTAGTCCATGCAAGGCTCCATGAGTAATGGCAGCGATCTCTACTTCCTGTAGTGGTTTTTTATGAACTGAGGAAGGAAAAAATAAAAGTCAGCAGATGATCAGTTTCATTCTTCATTTTATTATTTTATACAACTATACCAGACTGAGTTACATACTTTCTTACATGACAATTTGGGAACACATTCACCTAAATATATAGGATACAGATCTTCTATAGAAGAGATAAGTGATCAGGTAACAGGAAACCCAAGCACATAAACAGAAATGAGCCTTCAAAACAAAAAAAGCCTGATATTGCTTAAACGATGCAGTTAATTTACTTGTCAGTTGCAAGCCAAGTCACACTGATTCCAATTAACCAGTCCCTTCCAACATTTTAAATGTCTGGAGTGGTCTAGGTTACATTATTCTCCCCTGCCACAAAGCCATCTTTAATTACTCCTTCAAACTACAGATTTTCATTATTTGTGAAAGCAGCTAATAAGCAATTTCTATTCAGAAATCAACAGTTGTGTCTAAACAACAACAAAAAAAACCAACCAAACAAAAAAAAGAAATCAACAGTGATTTAATTTTTTTTTTTTTTTTTTTGAGACAGGGGTCTCACTCTGTTACCCGGACTGGAGTGCAGTGTTGCAATCAAAGCTCACTGCAGCCTTGAAATTCTGGGCTCAAGTGATCCTCCTATCTCAGACTCCTAAGTAGCTGGTATTTTTATTTTTTATTTTTGAGATGGAGTTTCGCTCATTGCCTAGGCTGGAGTGCAATGGCATGGTCTCGGCTCACTGCAACCGCCGCCTCCTGGGTTCAGGCGATTCTCCTGCCTCAGCCTCCCGAGTAGCTGAGATTACAGGCATCTGCCACCAGGCCTGGCAAATTTTGTATTTTTCATAGAGATGGGGTTTCTCCATCTTGGTCAGGCTGTTTTCGGACAGTAGCTGATATTACAGGTGTGAGCTTCCATGCCTGGCTCAAGATATTTTTTTAACGTAAATTTTTTTTTTTTTTTTTTTTTTGAGACAGAGTTTTGCTCTTGTTACCCAGGCTGGAGTGCAATGGCGCGATCTCGGCTCACCGCAACCTCCGCCTCCTAGGTTCAGGCAATTCTCCTGCCTCAGCCTCCTGAGTAGCTGGGATTACAGGCACGCACCACCATGCCCAGCTGATTTTTTGTATTTTTTTTTGTAGAGACAGGGTTTCACCATGTTGACCAGGATGGTCTCGATCTCTTGACCTCATGATCCACCCACCTCGGCCTCCCAAAGTGCTGGGATTACAGGCGTGAGCCACCGCGCCCGGCCTTAACGTAAATTTTTTTTTATTTATTTTTTATTTTTTTTATTTTTTTATTTTTTCCCATTTATTTATTTTATTGTATTTTAGGTTTTGGGGTACATGTGAAGAACATGCAAAATTGTTGCATAGGAACACACATGGCAGTGTGATTTGCTGCCTTCCTCCCCATCACCTACATCTGGCATTTCTCCCCCTGCCATCCCCCCCCAGCTCCCCACCCCCCACCGTCCCTCCCCTATTAACGTAAATTTTTAACACAGCCTCTGGTTATAGCAGCATCTGTAGAGAGGAACCGGGTCAGTCAAGATTTCTGAAAGGGTTTATTATCAACGTAATATGAGAATATCCACCTCTCTTTCACATATACCCATGAATATGTTTTTGGCTACACATACCATATCACATTAGCCAAACATTTTGGTAGTATCTGCCCTGGATGGGTGATGAACTAAAACAGGAAAAAGACTGCTAACATCACTCAGACACTTTCACTGACATTGAAGAGATGAAGTGTGCATAGCTTATCCACACAACCCTCATGTCCAAGCCATCATTCAATTAGACTGCCCAAACTACTCTTCAGCATGGCAGTAGATAACATTCTGATCAAAGTAAAGCAGAGAGTATAATTCCTTCTTTCTTACCTTCTAATAAATCAGACGCTGAGCCTAAGCAATATTCCATCACCAACTGTAAGAGATTAAAATAATATTCAGAATAATGAAAGTTAATTTAAAAAAACTGCTGAAACCAACTAATCGACCAACCAAGGAACTAAGAATACTAGGTGAATAAATGTTCTTACTTACCTGAACTTGGAGTGAATTTTGGTCATCTGGCACTAATTGATTTTTATAATTTTCATCATCTCAGTTTTTATTATTTCTTGCTTGGAATTGGCCTAAAGATTATTGGGGGACTAGATATAGAAATATTTACTATACATGGTGAAACCAAGATTGCCAATTTATTTATTAACTCCTTCACTACTTTATTTCAAAAAGGACTCAGGAGACTAGGTTGTACTATAAATTTGTAACTTAGAAAGTGGCAAACAAATACATGAGCCAGTAAAATCTATACTGGGGTTATACCAGTTAAATAAAATAAGCCAATAAGTAGTAAATTCCTTTTCTTCATACTTTGTATTATAATACTATTGATAGGCTGGGTGTAGTAGCTCACGCCTGTAATCCCAACATTTTAGGAGGCTGAGGCAGGCATATTACTTGAGGCCAGGAGTTTGAGACCAGCCTAGTCAACATGGGAAACCCCATCCCTACTAAAAATACAAAAAATTAGCTGGGCGTGGTGGCTTGCATCTGTTGTCTCAGCTACTTGGGAAGCTAAGGCCAGAGAATCGCTGGAACTCAAGAGGTGGATGCTATTGATAGTTATTGGGTTTGCCATCTGGGGAGGCTTTCTAAAAGCAAAAATGAGAAACCTGTTTCTTTACTCTTATCCTAGATTTTTTAGGTGTCCAAGACTATTGATTTATAATCAAAGTCAAAAGTATTTTTTAGGGCTTAGCAACGAATCTCCACACACACATGCAAGCCTCCACACTCCTACAAATTATTATTTTGTTATTTAAAAGAGTAGTACATGCTCATTATGAAATACAAATTTCCTATCATCAACCAGATGTAACCAATATCAACATATTAGTTCCTTTCATTAAAAAAATTAATGTGAAAATATATTTGTATGTATTATGTACCTTGCATTACTGAGGTAATTTAGAATACAAGAATTCTAGAAGTTAAAAATTTAGAAACTATTATACTTTTATTGTTATATAATTTAAATATTAATATATCAATATCAAGATATATAACATGAATATATTAATATTGTAAATATAAGTATACTATGTCTATATAATATAGAATATAATTACATTAGATATAACATACTTATAAGAGTTATATATTATATATAATAATGTCATATGTTATAGTTTCATAGTTATATATTTAAATACTATGTACCTTGCATTTCTGGAATAATTTAGAACAATATGAGAGGTTCAGAAGTTTAAAATTTAAACACCTTATTATACTTTTCTGCTTGACATTAAAAACAGATTCAGAAACATTAATCTTATTTCTTATTATAAAATGGAAGATTTCACATAAGTAAATGTTATAATGAACACTAGCCTTTATGTCCCCTACTTTTTCTTTCTTTTTTTTTTTTTTAGAGATGGAGTTTCACCTTGTTGGTCAGGAGGCTGGTCTCAAACTCCTGACCTCATGATCCACCCACCTCAGCCTCCCAAAGTGCTGGGATTACAGGCATGAGCCACTGTGCCCAGCCTACTTTTTCTTTAGTCAATTTTCATGAAAGTATTTCAAAATTTTATCACATAATTTTCTAATTTTTAAAACTAACTGAATATGCATATGTAACTTCCTTAAACCGAGCATATGAAATATGAATATAGAACTTTAAAACTGAATAGAATTAATATGTTTATAGTTGCATTATATTTTTTAAATTACATGTTTAAAAACTCAGCATTTTTGTCACAAATATTTTTTCCCCTATTATTCTATAACACAAAGGCACCTGAGCTGGTTGTTTGCTCCTGACACTAAATGGCTCTAGCTGCTCTGCCTTTAAATTATTAGGTCTGCTTTCTAGCTTCCCTGACTTTCCATATGGTCAAATTATTCTTATGCCTGTTTGTATGCATGTCTCTAAGAGCTCAGTTCCCTAGAGCTCCTTCTAATTGGTCTATCAAGTCAATTGTAGACAGAAACCGGGTAGCCAAGCTTATTAACAGTCTGTATAACCTAAGAGTAAACGGGCTTCAAGTAAGAGTATGGAGGATTTTCTGAAGACTTAAAACACATGAGATTTTAGCACTTGGATTTTGTAACATTTATTCTGCCTGTTTGAAATCCCTTTCCTGACAAGGCAGCTGCGATTGCTAGAGAACGGATTTCTAGATAATGAGATACTTATTTGATTAATTTCTTATTTTTGGAATGGAAGCAATAGTTCTACATATCTCAAGAGTTTCTTGAACAGAAATGTGTATGTTTAGTACACTGTTTGATAGTCTATTTGGGAACAAAAATTCCATTCCCTAATTAGAGATCACATACAGGAAAGGACTTGGTACCTGGTAACCAATAAATGCTAGTTAAATTGGAGTTTAAGTAGGAATGTGGAATTTGATAAATTAGAAAGGATAACATTTTCATGCCCTAAATGTACCTAATGTGCTAACATAAAATCAGAAATACAACCATATAAAAATATACTAAGGGCCGAGCACAATGGCACATGCCTGTAATCCCAGCATTTTGGGAAGCTGAAATGGGTGGATCACTTGAGGTCAAGAGTTCTCGATCAGCCTGACCAACACGGTGCAACCCCATCTCTACTAAAAATACAAAAAATTAGCTGGGTGTGGTGGTGTGTGCCTATAGTCCCAGCTACTCGGGAGGCTGAGGTTCAAGAATGACTTGAATCTGGGAGGCAGAAGTTGCCGTAAGTAGAGATGGCGCCACTGCACTCCAACTGGGCAACAAGAGTAAAATTCTATCTCAAATACACACACACACACACACACACACACACACACACACATCTCACACTAAGGTGACAGAGTGGAAGAAAAGTCTTTTTTTTGATCATATGGTAGGCACTGTTTGGTAAAAGTCACACAGCGATGAAAACATCAAGCACAATTCCAAATATTGGGGAACTGGAGTGGAGGATAAGAAATGACAAAGATAAAAATTCTAGGATGAGAATATAAGGCTGTGCCTTTTACTTTTACAAATAAATAATTATAAAATGATGTCAGCCAGGTGTGGTGGCTCAGGCCTGTAATCCCAGCACTTTGGGAGGCCAAGGCGGGAGGATCACAAGGTCAGGAGATCGAGACCATCCTGGCCAACATGGTGAAACCCCATCTCTACTCAGGAGGCTTTGGCAGGGGAATTGCTTGAACCCGGGAGGCGGAGGTGGCAGTGAGCTGAGATTGTGCCACTGCACTTCAGTCTGGCGACACAGCAAGACTCCATCTCAAAAAAAAAAAAAAAGATGTCAACTTTTCACAATCTCTTTTTGAGTGCTTATAGAATGGAATTTCCAATAGGCTAAATATCACTTAATCTTACGGAATGTATGCCATATGACACACTGAGGTATTAACAAATGTTAATAAACACTGATAACAAAAGTTAAATGGAACAGAAATGGGACTAATAATTTTACAGATCAAAGAGATAATAGAAAAAGAAGAAAAAAAAGCAGTAGTAAAAGAAATAGAGGTCCTTTGACTTACCCAAGCAGTGTGCTCTTTCAAGTAACAGCCTTTGTACTCAATGGTATTAGGATGCTTCAACTGTCGTAAAAATTTAACTTCCTTAAGAATATCTTGCCATTTCTATTGAAGTCAGAAAGGAAACATTTTCATTTTCAAACTGAAAATAGTATTTCCTATCAATTATATATACATAATAGTATTTATATTATTGTAAATGAACATGAAGTAAATGTTTAATAAATGAAGAATCTATTTAAACTTACTATTTCTCTCTTTTTTTTTTTTTAAATCGAGATGGAATCTTGATCTGTTACCTAGGCTAGAGTGCAGTGGCACAATCTTGGCTCACCGTAACCTCCGCTGCCCAGATTCAAGCAATTCTTGTGCCTCCCAAGTAGCTGGGACTACAGGTGTGCATCATCATGTCCAGCTAATTTTTTTGTATTTTTAGTAGAGACAGGGTTTCTTCATGTTGGCCAGGCTGCTCTCGAACTTCTGACCTCAGGTGATCCAACTACCTTGGCCTCCCAAAGTGCTGGGATCACAGGTGTGAGCCACCACACCCAGCCTAAACATGCTATTTCTTTAGTTTGAATACATGTGAACACAAATCTATCACCAAATATATACAAAAAAGCCATTACATATACCCACGTTCTAGTCTGCAAAATAGTTTTTTTCTTTTCAGGCACTCAGGCTACAGTGCAGTGGTGCAGTCATGGCTCACTGCAGCCTCCACATCTCTGGCTCAACTAATCCTCCCACTTCAGCTGGGAGGACTACGGGCTGGACTTCAGGCACGCGCCACCACACCCAGCTAGTTTTTTTGATGTTTTGTGAGGTCTCACCATGTTGCCCAGGCTGGTCTTGAGCTCCTGGGCTCAAGCGATCCTCCAGCCTTGGCTTCCGAAAGTGCTGGGATTACAGGCCTGAGCCACCTCATCCAGACTGCAAAATAGTTGATTGAGCTGGATTAGGATGTTGGCCTTCTTAAAAATAATTATGAATGTTCACACATTTGCATGGGAGTTATGAAAAAACTCCAGGAACTTTTATTATATGCCCCACAAGAAGGTAAAAAAAATTGTGCTCAAAAAAAGTTCAAATAATTTTTAAATTTCACACTAACTTGTTTATTTCTGTTTAGGTACACAACTGTCTCTATTTTACCTCATGAGTCTGCTTCCCACTATAGGACATCTTCTTAATTGCCACCACCTCGTTGGTGTGAGCATTTGTAGCCTGTGTTAAGAGAAGAGAAGAAAAGGAATTAATGATGTTTCAGCCAATTTAACGTAAATATTTGACTAGAGACTATTTTTTATTACTGCAACCTCTGCCTCCCGGCTTCAAGCATTCTCCTGCCTCAGCCTCCCAAGTAGCTGGGATTACAGACATGTGCCACCATGCCCAGCTAATTTTTTTGTATTATTAGTAGAGATGGGGTTTCTCCATGTTGGTCAGGCTGGTCTTGAACTTCCAACCTCAGGTGATCTGCCTGCCTCAGCCTCCCAAAGTGCTGGGATTATAGGCATGAGCCACAATACCTGACCTATTTATTTATTTTAAGACAGAGTCTCACTCTGTCACCCAGGCTGGAGTGCAGCTCACTGCAACCTCCACCTCTTGGGTTCAAGTGATTCTCCTGTTTCAGCCTCTCAAGTACTTGACTAGAATTACAGGCATGCGCCACCATGCCAAGCTAATTTTTTTTGTATTTTTAGTAGAGATGGGATTTTACCATGTTGGCCAGGCTGGTCTTGAACTCCTGACTTCAAATGATCTGCCTGCCTCAGCCTCCCAAAGTGCTGGAATTACAGGTGTGGGCTACTGTGCCCAGGCAGCTAGAGACTTTTCAATTTAATTTTATTTTTTGAGATGAAATTTTTGCTTTGTCACCCAGGCTAGAGTGCAGTGGCATGATCTTGACTCACTGCAACCTCTGCCTCCTGGGTTCAAGTGATTCTCCTGCCTCAGCCTCCCATGTAGCTGGGATTACAGGCATCCACCACCATGCCTGGCAAATTTTTGTATTTTTTGTAGAAACGAAGTTTCACCATGTTGGCAAGGCTGGTCTCGAACTCCTGACCTCAGGTGACCCACCCGCCTCAATCTCCCAAAGTGCTAGGATTATAGACATGAGCCATCGTGCCTGGCACGATGCCACTGCAGTATCACAGTTCAAAGATGCTTCAATTTCTGATAGGCTAAATTGACATTTCCATTCCCATTTTAATGTGTAGTTTCTCTGTATTCTTTTCCGTATTCATAAAAGATTGTAATATAAAAAATGATTAGGGTTTAACATATCAAATCAAACAAAGAATGTCATATTTCCAAAATATCCATACTGGTTCACTTGGTAGACTGTCCATCAATGGAGAACCAGTTAAAAAAAAAATGATCATATAATGAAATAACCATTTAAGGAATGAGGTAACCTATGTGCAATGCAGTATGAAAAGATGTTTAAAATGTTTTTGTAAAAAACAAACTATAAAGCAGAATTTGATTTCTGCAAAATAGTAATAATGTGAGTATATGTGTAGAAAAATTATAAAAGAATTTATACCAGAATATGTATCAATGATAATCCCTGGAGCAGGGCTATCTGATAGAATTTTCTATGATAATGAAACAGTTCTATTTCTACATTGTCCAAAAGAGTAATATGTGAAATGTGGCTAGTGTGACTGAGAAAATAAATTTTAAATTTTGTTTAATTTTAATTAACTTAAATTTGAATAGTTACATGTGCCTACTTGCTATTGTATTGAACAGTACAGCAGAAAGTAAGATTAATCCTAAGAGGGACTTTCATTTTCAGGGTTACTTATAAGACTGTATTAATATATACATACCTACATTTATGTATGTATATATGTGTATTTTTTATCTATAGAGGTTGCCTTGTATCATAATTATGTCTACTTGTCTTCTCCATACTCCAAATATGACAGTTTATTGAAGGTACAAACGAAAACCATGAATAACTCATCACAGTCTTTTTCTCTCAACTTAAGAGATATATATATATATATATATATATATATATTTTTTTTTTTTTTTTTTTTTTTTTTTTTT